CGTGGTACAGGCAAAGCTCCCCGGGCGGGATGGCTCTGCTGCTCGCCGGACCGAAGCTGCCCGCAGCCTCCACATCGATGCTCTGAGCCTGGCTCAGCCGGCGATCTCTGCGGAGTTGCCGTCGCTCGGGTTGGGGTACCCTTGCTTCAGAAAAAGCGGGGAGTAACTGCAAGCGTAGCTGTTTTGGGAGCGAGTTGGGAGGTTTAGGTTCCTGTCCAGCTCCTGTTTAACACCCAGGGTGTGGAACAGAATAAAGTGAGCATGCTGTTCTTTTGCTCTTAGTTTTGATCAGATTTCAGTGTCATGCTGACACGTAATCTGTTATCTGTCATAAGGATGTTTATTTTGCTCATTCGTGTCATTGTTTTTTTTAATTATTATTATTTTATTGCTATAGGGTTTGTAAGTCTGCGAGGTGATAAGGTAGCCAGAGCACAGCCAAGATCAGCAGTCAGTGTACTGTAACCGTGTCTAGGGATGAAGAGGAAACTCAAATTGCAGACAGTTTACAGTCTCATGGTGTCAGCCATGGAAATAGAGGGGAGTTCTATCTCTGGTACAAGGAAATACTTGAGAACGCTAAATAAAGTGAAATAAAAACGAAATAACAGCCAGCACAGGCAGACTGAATTCATTCTGTTGTTGTGCTGTGAGGTCAGCCCATGGTTCTCCTAAACAGTGTGAATCTCCTGATAATGCTCCTGGTTTTGGGCTTGGTCACTGCAGCAGTGGTCACTTCTCCAGGTGGTGTGACAGACCAAACTTAAATGTTTCTTTTCACTTTTCTCTTGATGGCCTTTTACCTCTCAGTTGCTGATTAAATGTTTGGAATTTACAACAATACTAGCGTTGCAGTTTTTTCTCAAATGCTTCCTGTACCTTTGAACATAAAGGGAAGAGACTTTCAGTGCTTTCCTTTAACTTCACATTGTTACATCTGTAATACCAGTCCTTACTTTCTCAGGCACCCATGTTGTAGTAATACACATTCACCTCAAGAACATTTGAAAGACTACTTTTTCAGGCTAATTTTCTCTCTCAAGCACAGGGACTGAAAGTTTACTTCCTGGACTATCTCTTGTCCTTACCAGCCCTTGGCACAGAGTTAGAATCTGACTCTCCTTGTGTAAAATGACTTACCACAGCAGAACTTGCATTTGCTACATTTCTGATTGGAGAAAAGTCCGTGCTTTTTGAAGTGTCTGCAGACACTTACTGTCATGCTGGTATTTTATTTTGTACTTTACTTTTTCCATGCAGTGGGCCTGGCGTGCTGTTTTGTTCTCTTTGCTCCCCTTACACTAAAAGTGGTAGAGTTTGGTGGTTGTCGTTGCCTGCTCTAGTGGCAGGTTAATACCTGAGTGCTTCTCACCTGCTGTGGTGTGAGCAAGGAAGAGACTTGAGCGTTCCTGAAAGATTACCAAATTAAACCTAGAAACAACTTTTTCCTTATTATTTCTAATGCCAACTGCCAAAGGTGTCTCTCTTTTGTGATTTTCAGGCTATACAGTTGCACAAACGTTAATCTAATTATTTTCTATATTGCCCTCTGCCTTACAGGTTGGCTTGCAGTCAGCTTTGGTAATTCTTCAAGGGAATTAACTTTGCCATCAGAAATGGAGTATAGGACTCAGTCACCACATCCTGAATGACCGAATCCTTTAATACAAAATGGAGAAGAAACGTAGAAAGAAATGAGCCTGTTTCTTAGGCTTTACCTCAAAAGACCATGAAATCTCTACTTGTTTTGGACCCAGCTTTAAGAATATCCACTTGATCAGCACAGCGAAAGCAACGTTTACCGAAACAAAGATGAACTAGTTTATAAAGAAGAAAATTGTGATTTGCTTATATGGAATTTTTGGAATGAAACCATTTTCTTCTATGACCATGAAGTTTGCAAACATCTGGTTTGTTCTGGTTGTTATTTTACTCTGTGGCAAAAAACACTTCAGTACCAGACTAGGGAATTCCTCTCACGAGGCTCATATATGTCCTGGATGTTCTCGCCTTACTTTGGAAGTGGAATTCACTTCAACAGTCGTGGAGCATGGTAATAAAGAGTTAAGCATTAAAAATAATTAGCCCCGTGAAGTTCAAGTATATGTTAGTGATTTGTGGTGCTTGTGTAATTGTGATATTCAGAGGGTTTCTGTCGAAGCTTGTAAGCTGCTAAATTATATTCGAAAAGAGAAACAGATTTTTTTCAAAGGTTCGTGGTTTAACTGGAAACAGGATTCAAAGACCAAGGAAGAGAGGGGGAAATAATGTGGATGTTAAAAGCTAAAATGGAGCGTGAAGGCTTGGGTGGGCAAGTCTGGCCACTGGTGTGTTCAGTAGCTGTTTGTTTTGACCCAGACAGTGGTACAGTTGAGGCTTTTTTATGAAACGTAACCACAAGTGGGCTTTGAAGGGGTGAGAAAAGCAAGAGATCTCTGTGGGTTTTGTTCAAGAAAAGGTTTGGAAATGGCAATACACGTGTGGAAGAATCGCAGAGGTAATTTTGAAGGGAGCAGATGAAAGGCAAAGCGAGGCAGATATCTCTGCTGCGATGGTGAAGGGTAGCAGTAGGATGCTTTGACTCAGCACCCACTTGCTGCCTCAGGTACCCATCGTGTTCCCACAGCAAAGCTGTGCATGTGCCTGCGCGCTTCAAGGCAGGATGTCAGAGACATTTCTGGGTGTAGTTGGCCAAAGGCTGCCTGAGGTGAACGTGGTGGTGTGCGCTGGGCCTTAGGTCTGCTCACAAATCGCTGATGCGTGGGATGGGACTGGTGGGACTGTGCTAATTCTCTGTGCATGTCCAAGTGGGTGTTAGTGATTTGTACTGTAACTTAGTACCGTGTAGAGGTTAGACATCTTTAAATCATACATGTCAAAAACCATATTGAATTGGCATACCGAGCAGTCTGTACTGCTGATTTTACAGTAAGTCTGTTGCATCTCCTCTGCTCCCTCCCCATCATTTCACCTTGCCATGATACTTTAAATTCTACCTTCCTTTCAAAGGTTTTTGTCGTATTTTGCAGGTTTTCTGATTAAAACAAAACACAAAACCATTATGTGGTGCAGAAATAAATTGCAGATTTCTTGAAGCAACAAAAAAATTGCCTCAAATTGTAATTATTTGAAAGAAAAAAAGAAATATTTGCATCTTTGCAGTGTGAATGCATGAGTAAACTGCTTAAACATCGGTTCTGATGAGTTGTGCTCTTGTTCCAGAGTATATTGTGGCTTTTAATGGATACTTCACAGCTAAAGCTAGAAGTAAGTTTATTTCAAGTGCACTAAAAAGTAGTGATATTGAGAACTGGAGGATTGTACCTCGCAACAACCCAGCCAGTGACTATCCTAGCGATTTTGAAGTTATTCAGATCAATGAGAAGCAGAAAGATGGAGTACTGACACTGGAAGATCATCCAAACATCAAGCGTGTAACACCTCAGCGGAAGGTCTTCCGGTCGCTCAAATATTCAGAGTGTAAGTAACTTTTGGCGTGGTTGCATGAGGTCTGCTTTGAAAAAGTTGTCTCAGCCTTATTTCAGACCATCAGCTTAGTATTACACAAGTGAGAACTGCCCTGCAGTTGCTTAGTTTACAGAAATCTGTTCTTTTGCCTGTGAAATTATCAGGCTCTTGTCATACCTTTGCTGAAGCATGGCAACAGTTCCAGCTGCAGTATAGGAACAGTAGTTTTGCAGCAGTCCGTTAGCAGAGACGGTGGACCACCGTATCCACAGTAGATAAAACGGAAGCTTTTACTGATTTTGATCAGAGAAAACTGATACTAACTCCTCTAAAATGTTTGTTGTAGCAATATGTCGTGTATATTTGCAGGAAAAGCTGGTCTTCTGTGGCTTTCCTCATACTGCATTTTCTTTTTGTCACCCTAATTCTGTGTAGCTGATCCAACGTTGCACTGCAATGAAACCAGATGGACTCAAAAGTGGCAATCATCTCGTCCCTTGAGAAGAGCAAGTCTTTCCTTAGGTTCTGGCTTCTGGCATGCAACAGGCCGACACTCAAGCAGGCGTTTGCTGAGAGCTATCCCACGCCAAGTTGCTCAGACCTTGCAGGCAGATGTCCTCTGGCAGATGGGTTACACAGGTCTGCTTTTATCTGTTGACTTAGAACAATTACCTTCTTTGAAAACACAAGTGAAGTGTAAGGAAAGGCTAATTGGCTCCTATGTTTTAATCTCTCCTTGGGTGTCAGTTCTGGAAGGATTGAGAAGTACTTTGTTTTGAGATGCATTGTGTGCTTATGGAGTGGTCTTCTGCGTGCGTGTGTACTGTACTTAAGAGAACTTTGTCATATTTATGATCTGTGGTTGAATTTCTGAATTGGAATATGAGTTTTCTTCATGCTCTGTAACTTCCTGAGCTTGTAAATTGCGTGCTGCATTAAATGTGTAAAGTTTCTTTGACTTGATAGATTTGCTGTGGAGCTGAATCAGAAAAAGCGATGCTTTTCTGTCACAGGTGCTGGTGTAAGAGTAGCGGTGTTTGACACTGGGCTGAGTGAGAAACATCCACATTTCAAAAATGTAAAGGAGAGAACAAACTGGACTAATGAGAGAACCTTGGATGACGGTGAGTTACTGTGCGCAGTTGCCCAACTATTCCTGACACTGGCTTGTTCTGTTTTGCGCTGTAAAATTGCCGTTGCTGCTGTGGTGCTAACATCCGTTAAAACTGTGTATGTTGAGATTTTAAGCTTAATTTTGCAGTGTCCCGAGCACTTACACTGTAGTCAACAAAGAGTATTAAGGTTCCAGGAGGGTGGTGCATAGAAGTGTCCTTTGAATCGTATGTGGCATTTCATCATAGCATTTAAAAAATGTCAGGGCAGGAGACGTTATGCAGGTATAAATACATTGTCAAAGTAGGTGGAGGTGAGAGCAAAGCCCCACAAAGCTGTTTCTTTCCTATCCGTTTTTATATATCCTGCTGTTTCACAGCACATACCTATTTCCAAACTTAGGAGGGAGAGCATTTTCCTTCTTTACTGTGCAGTCCTAAGCTAATGAGATTTTTGGCACCTTCCTGTAATTTTTTCCTAGTCTGTATAGTTTTAATCAACCAACACTGTGCTGGCTCACGCATATCAACGTGTCGAAGAACCTTTTTAATTTCTGCGGTATGTTTGTGTTCCTTTTTCATTTGTTGACCCAAACTTGCCCTGACCGTATGCTTTCACAGATTGTTAACTTCAAACAGTCTGGGTCACTGAGTCCGTTGACAATGTAATCCCTTTAGAATTCCAGGTATATGCATTTCTTGTTCAGTCTTGTGTGCACCTCCATAGTTTTCTCATGTGTGTTTCTTTGCATTGCAGCACCTGCTTGTGGAACAACTTTCTATTAGTTCTGTGCCCAGATGGTTGCTGGACAGGCAGATTTGGAGTACAGAAATGCAGGCTGCAGGCAGTCCTATAAAGTAGAGGCTAAATTATTTTTTGAGGAGATGAAAAAAATGTGTTTTCTTGTCTCATTATTCATCCTTAACAGAATAGTTATATATAGATATTGGAGAGACAGGATAAAAATCTTCTAAGAAGTTTATGTAAATACACATTGGCCTTTTAACTTGCATTTTCAGAGCCAACCTTTTCCTCTCATGATTGCTTTGTGTGGCTCTTGATTTCATTGGTAGCAATTGGAAGTGGATAAAGGGGTTGTCTGGCCAGACAGTGCTGGAGATTCTGGCCCCACCGAACCCAGTACCAAAATATGATTGAAGAAGACTAGTGCTGAACCTGCTGTTAGCAGGTTGTCATAACGTCTGTTAGATTGATGTGATTTTTTTGTACAGGCAGCGTTTAACAATGCAAATCCTTGTCAATGAAGTGGTTTGTCTTCTAACACCTTATTTGGTTTCCTTCTCTCTTTGATAGGTTTGGGCCATGGGACTTTCGTAGCAGGTGTGATAGCCAGCATGAGAGAATGCCAGGGATTTGCTCCAAATGCAGAACTGCACATTTTCAGAGTGTTCACCAATAACCAGGTAGCTATTTCACATGTGTTCCAATTTCTGCCTTTCCAGATTAATGCTGTGTTAATCCTTTCTTTTGGAATATTGCAAGTAACTTGTAAATGTTGACATGCTTGCTTTGATGAGTGAGAAGGATACATCTTTCTATTTATGAGACAACTTACTACAAGACGACTTACAGTTTCCAAACCTGGTACATTTTTCAGAAATAATATATGGAAGTTTGATCTGTTCAGTGTTGGAGCAATCACTCAAGTGTTCTGACCACAGGAAATACTAGGAGATCATTGTCACTTTTGTGCTTTACTTTGGTATTGTTTCTCCTCTCTGTCTCAAGTCTGTGTTGTCATGGAATACCTGGATTTTCCAGTGATGACTTTTTTCCCTCCTCTTTCTTACATAGGTCTCATATACATCTTGGTTTCTGGATGCCTTTAATTATGCAATTTTAAAGAAGATAGATGTTTTGAATCTAAGTATTGGTGGACCAGACTTCATGGATCATCCGTTTGTCGACAAGGTTAGTGTGAGGAAATAAAGTGATCGGGGAGTTTATATCCCTCACACAAGTGCTGGATTTGCAGAGCTACTTCTTTGCCACAGCTGCTGACAGTTTCTGGTGCTGCTGACGGGTTCTGTGGAGTTTCATTTGCATGAGAAAAATTTTTGTACGGTGTGCAGGCTTTTAGGTATATATTTAAGAAATGGATTTTAAAAAAGCCAAGCACAACCCAAACATTCACAGACGGTGGAAGCATGCCCTTCTACAAAATGCTGTATGTACTGCCAGTAAGTGTGGCTTCTGAGCAGGCATCTAAGTGGGCCCTTAATGGAAGAAGCTTAACTGTAATCCACCCTTGCTTTTTAAAAAAAAACTCTGCATGGTTAATTTATTTTATGGTAAAAAATATGGATAACCTGAACTTAGGAGAAAATGGTTAAAGAACAAATAAGTAAAAAGCACTGGTAGTTGATTCAGCTACATGGCTAGAGATTTGTTTCAGGATAATGAGGTTTTTGTCTTTGTCAATGTCATGGTTCCCTGAATTGTTGATGTGTCTTTCAAAAGCACTAGGCACTAAGTGCTTTTAAAAAGGCTAAAATCTTTCTCTGCAAAGGGTCATTAAGGGATATGAGGCACAGAAATGCTCTCTTTTTTATCATAAACTGCGTTGAAATTTAGTTTGATAGTGTCTTCAATGTTCTCCCGAGAGTATTACTGGAGGGGATCTAGAATAACTTGACTTTGGCATCTGGAGTGCTTTGTTGTGGGCAGGAGTTGTTCTTTTGGAGCAACCTAAATACGTACTCTCAGCAGTGTTGCTGTAAAGGCTGGGTTATTGGTCACATAATCTTAAGAAAATTGGGAGCATAATACTGAATGTACCAGTGAGATGCCTTTTGTAAGTCTCAGTAAGAAAGAGGGGTTGGACTAATGGTTTGCTTATGTCAGGCCCCCTGGAGTGTGTGTTTGTTAGAAAAGTCTCTTGTTTTCGTGGCAAAGCCTTACTGTAAATGTTATTTTTTGAAGGTATGGGAACTGACGGCTAACAACGTCATCATGGTGTCTGCGATTGGAAATGACGGCCCTTTGTATGGGTAAGTTTCAATGGCCACTTCAGACAAAAGCAAATATGGTGTTATTACATGTTTTTGGAAATAGTTGTGCTTGGTCAGGAGGTTTTTCCCCCTCCTTTTTGCTGTAATTTGTTTATAGAAAGTGGCTCACGTTAAACTCCCTCTTTCCACCGTCTTTCTAGCTTGTTGTGGTAGTACAGCAGTTTGTGAAGTACTGTGCTAAATATTTCTCATTGAAACAGGAAAGTCAGTGAAAGAAGAACAACAGTACTTCCAGCTGACATTTCCCTTTTCGTGTGAGCAGATATCTATGAGTACTGCTCTTGGGCTCAAGGAATATAGACGGGATCAAGCCAGAATGCCTTGTGGTCTTTTTCTAAAATAAATGCCTAAAAGTAGATTTTGTTTTGTCTTCAAGATACGTGGTTTAGTAGTTACTGAGTTAGTTACTGAGTTACTAACTGCCTGAAAAGTTGCTCTCACTAGTAAGTATAACTGTATTGGGTAGGACCAAAGTTTGTTTCTGTGAGGGTTAAAAAGAGCATCTGACAAAAATCTGATGGCAGCCTGTCTGTTATCAAGATAAACTTGTGACTGCATCTTGTTTTCTGTTTTGTTTTTGGTCTTCCTATCTCCCAACTTGTTCTAGGACTCTAAATAACCCTGCTGACCAGATGGATGTGATTGGAGTAGGTGGCATTGACTTTGAAGATAATATAGCTCGCTTTTCATCTAGGGGAATGACCACTTGGGTAAGATATCTTGACTGTGGCCAGCCACATCTGCAGCCAAAATAAGGACCCTGGCAAGGGAGCCTTTTCTGGAAGGGTTATCCCATGCAGATGGTATGTGTGGAATAACCAGTGATAAAAGATTTCATCGAAGATCAGAATAGTGAGAGATTTTAAGTCTTTAGGCAAGAACCTTAATGTCCTTTGCAGGGTTTCTCATTGTTAATCTTGACCGCTCTTGACATCCTTGATGGATTTGTTTGTCCAGTACCTATTGATTTACGGTAAGGGCTTGCCTGTGTGCTTAAATCTGTAAAAATGAAGGCCTGCTCTTTCCTTCTTCTTCTTCTTTAGTTGAGAAACCGTAGCATTTCCATATGGTACATGTACTTCTTTGAACTGAGGTGACGGTGACCGCACACATGATTTCATCTGAAATTGCACTGTGACCGAGGGGACTGTTACATGTTTCTGTTCGTGCTGCATCTCGCTCATTAGCCAGCTAGCAGTGTCGTTATCATTTTGCCAGGGTTTTGTGCTTAGCATAAGTACCGGAGTAATTGGCGGTGATGTTAACGTTGAAACATCGAGAACTTTCATAAGCAGCTTGAGCCCTTCTTTGGGTGTTACTTGCTATTCCATGAGTCTGAACCTCAGCTATTTTAGTTGACAGTTTTACTTCTGAATGACCTGCACTTAGTTTAAGTGCCCAAACGAAGCAAGTATTGTTCATTATGTATTAGGGCAATTATCCATCCCTTTTCTTTCACAGGAGCTGCCTGGAGGTTATGGTAGAGTAAAGCCTGATATTGTTACGTATGGCTCAGGAGTGAGAGGTTCTGGTATGAAAGGTGGATGCCGCTCTCTCTCTGGGACAAGCGTAGCATCTCCTGTGGTGGCAGGTGCTGTTACTTTGTTAGTGAGGTAAGTCTCAAATAAGAATCTTCAAAAGGTACTGATGCAGGAAGGTCGTAAAAGGCCCTATAAAGAACCCACCAAATAAAACTAAATTGTGTTTCTATGTAGGACATGAACTTGGAGGATAAAATTAAAGTTCTGCCTGAGACTTTACCTTTTCTGACTAGCTCTACATTTCCCAGGAAAACCTGAGAACTGTTTTGAATAATAGTTAGGTCTTTGACAATATAACTGGGGAGAGCAGTACTATGAAGTAATTTTGTAACATTTTTTAATCATTTTGAATTGCTTAGCTTCTATCAGTTGTGTTGTAAAAGAGCAGCTGCTCAAAGCAGGCACCTGTAACAGATAATTATCTATGTGCTTGTAAATTTTACAGGATTTAGGGGTTTATGACTGTTGGGTTGCGTAAGTAATTTGTTAAACACTGAAGAACTTAAAGGTGGGAGTTACAAGTCTGCCCTTTGTGTTTGTCATCGCTACTGCTTATGGATCGGACGAACCTTTATTTGCAAAATGCCAGAAATTCAAAGTCATCATTGTATTTCCTCCATAAAATGATGTGTTTTTCTTTGAACAACAAAGCTGGTTTTTTCCTCTGGAAGAGTCATATTGTGAAGGATACCAGCATGTTTCCAGTTACAGAGGCTTTGATTTTCTGAATAGTTTATTTAGCATATAAAAATACTTCCCTGATTGTAATGACTGCTGGGTCATGGAGCTGGGTTTTAAACTGATCGCATCGATTGCATTTTATTTACATCGAACGGCTGTTAAGGCAGAGTGGTAAACAGGACTAGCTAGAAGCTGGACTAGAGACCACCTAATGTGATCTGTTGTTTCCTGTTTCAGCACAGTTCAGAAGCGTGAAATGGTGAATCCGGCAAGTATGAAGCAGGCACTTATTGCGTCAGCACGTAGACTTCCTGGAGTCAACATGTTTGAACAAGGACATGGCAAGTTGGATCTTCTGAGAGCTTATCAGATCCTCAACAGCTATAAACCACAGGCCAGGTTAATTTTAATCCTTAATTAATCAATGGTACACTATTGCCTGCTGTGTTTCTTGTAAGAGAGCAGGCGTTGCACGTGTAACTCAGTTGAGCAATCTGTGCTTATGGAACAAGGAGAACTTGCACAGTTCTTATGTAATCCTGAAGCATCAGTTTTGACAGGAGAGCGGATGAAAAGGCGAAGTATTTTCTGCCTAAGTTATAGCAGTGTAGGGGATAAAAGTGTCTGTGAGAGCTAAATTTACTTCCTCTTCTAGCCTCAGGTGCTATGAATAATGTAACCTAGAACACAATGGAAAAGTACTTTCATTTTAACTGTCCAGAGTAAGAACATTCTCACTGTGTGAGAAAGTTTCTTTTTTTGTGTGTGTGTGTAAAAACCCTTTTACAAAACTTAAAAAAAAATAAAGGGGGAGGGAAGAAGATTTTGGGGCAGATTTGGGAAGCGAGGTGAGAGTTTGGTAGAGGAACAATGGCTGGCTTCTTTTATCTGTAATTTTTTCATTGTTGTGTACAGTAGCATGTTCTTGTGTTTACTGATTTTTATTTTTTCTTTAATTTTACCTCCTCCACACTGCTGCAGTTTGAGTCCAAGCTATATTGACTTGACGGAGTGTCCCTACATGTGGCCCTATTGTTCCCAGCCCATATACTATGGAGGGATGCCAACCATTGTCAATGTTACTATCCTTAATGGTATGGGAGTCACTGGGAGAATTGTAGACAAGGTAAGACTTAACATTGTTTCGAGTGCTGACTGTTAATGTTACTGAAACCTTCCCGGAAAAGACTATTTAAGCTATAAATTTCATAGAACAAATGAGGTTTCTTAGTTGCTGAGAGCAAGAGGGCTGTGCTGCCATCCAGCGAGA